ATTAATATTCATGAGCTAATTAATATTCATTTTCCATTCTACAAGCTACGAATTAACTACTTTAATTATTTTAACTTTTATTTATTTCAAATATTTCAATGTAAAATTAATCTGCTTTAATAAAAGTGAAAAAATATATATACTTTATTTTTGAAATCACGTCTAAAATACGTATTTTTAAGACATTGACTTCTGAGCGGGCAGCCATTTTTTTTTTAAAGCGTGTCGTCCGTTTGTTACGGCCAAAGTGGCAACAAGAATTTAATTGTTTTCTTTTCCGATGGAACGCTGGTAAATCACATTAATAGTGAGAAATTAGTATTCCTTGTATCGCTGACTGAATATAGCTTTTGAATTTATTTTTATGAACGAGTCATGAAACCAAAAACATCAATCACGGTTACTACACTCGAGTGCAAGTGCAGATTAAACAAACAACAGCTTGACGCATCGCTGCCGGTGAAGTGAGCAAGTTATTGTTCAACTCGGCAAATCCTACACACAACTAAACTTGCAATGGTAATCCTTCCTTCTGTTTATTTATCATTGTCTCCCCTTCCATTATCTTGATGTACAACTCCGATCTGGTTCGTTTGTTAAAACTAACAGAATGTCAATCGGAGGTTAAAACAAAAACACATTAGGCTGATGTCACACGTGTACGTTGATTTTGAACAGCAGTATCTTCTTTCAAGTTTTGTTGTGTGTTAATTTTTTGCATTGTGTTGTGTGTTAAAACCAACAAGGACAATAGAATGATGGTCCAGTGGCCGACATCCTGTGTGTATCATAAACAAATAGAATAGTGCTGGTCGCCAACTTTTTGTCCTGGTCGGAAATTCGCCCTGAGTCTCCAAATAACCACAATAGACAGAGTGGGGATCCAGACCAAATATGTGTGATTCGGGCGTTTCATGATAAATTCTTTCTATTAATAATTGCACTTTAAAATAATATTCATGGGATATGTCTACGTCATAACCTTGTTAAAGTTATTAGCATTTTGCAAACGCGGTGCGCATGTTTTGGGCCATTTTTTGTATTTCACAACACATGCGTCATCACATTGAGGTCAATTGAAGTTTTATGCAAGGTAACAATCAGCACTGTCAATGGGTTTCACCCGAGTTTCACCACATTGATATTGCTGAACATTGTGTTCGTATTCAAAGCATAAGCGACGCTACCAGAAAATATACACAAGCTAACAAGCCACACCAACCAAGTCACTGCTGAGATTGCAAAGGATTAATACTGTAAAATTTGTATTAGAAGCTGCGGCTTCTATTAAAATGGTACAATGCAACAGAGGGGATGCGGGTTCTATTAGAGCATGTACACATATGAGAAATGGTGAATGTTTGCTTAACATTTGTTCAAAATAATGGGTGCGACTTCTATTAGAGATGCGGCTTCTAATACAGATTTTACGGTACATACTTTCACCATGTCATTATGCTGTAATATGCAATTTCAATTCTGGTTTCCCAGTAACTCTGGATGCATACATTTGTATATTGGCAAACATGGCCATTATTTGTTCTTAAAATGCAAAAAGGTGTACCACATACACATGCAAAACGTGGACAAGTTTTCAGGGAACCTCATCAAATGTTACACACATGTGTGGTAAAGGTTTGAGATCTCGTATCATACTATCTATTCTATTAATTACAGTAATAATCACTCCTGAGGACACTGGTAAAGATGTGAGGTGTGAAGCTAAAGATGTGAAACGTACACCTGTAGTATGTGGTGCTAAATCATTGGTAACAAGTAACATCTTTTCACCAACAGAGGGTACGTTTTCTTTGAAATCTAGAAGTACATTAGACACTGTCAAACAAGTGACCATCTTCAAAACACAATTCCTATGAATGGCACCCTCTTGCGACAAAGAATTTCTGTGACATTAAAATGATACAGATGTGCATTAGTGTTCAAATCATAAACTGTGTTTATGTGGTTGTGCAGTCATATAGTACAACCCTGCACTTTTGTATTGACAGATGATTTAAGATTAAAACACTTTTGTTTGATTCATCAAAGATTATTTATCATTAAATGGCTCAAAATGAAGAAAAGGTGAATTAGTTAGTTCACCATCTATTACTCTTCTATATACATGTACATGTATGTGTTGATGTTTATGGGGGGTGATTTAAAAAAGTGATTATTCTTAAGTTGTAATTTTTATTGTTTCAATTCTATTCCTCAGACTTGCAGTTAATTGAAAATGAGATCTTTGACTTTGATCTACCAATTACTCCAGAAAGGTAATCATGAATTACTTGTGAAATAATGCTGGTATTAAACGCATGTTTTTTTTTTACTGCTTATAATTTTTTTAATATTTACAAACGTTTTAAAGTATGCGTTACTTCAGATGTTAAAATCTGAATTTGTGAATTAAGAACATTATTTTTTTTAATTTACGTATTACATTATCATTTGATAATTATTGGTAAATATATGATAAGTAATGGCTCGTGAAAAATTTATCTTTTTTGTTCTTTGTTGAAGAAAATTTAAACTGTATTTTCATGGGAGTTAGATGTAAATTTTACTTTTATTTCTTTGACGTTTAATTATGTATATTGAAATTTTTGTTTTGTATAATGAATTAAATACAATTTCATATAATTATTTATAGCATACCCAAAGATGAGAAATCGCCTGATTTGGTAGGTGATGTTGATGAAGACGATGAAGTGTTTTTTGGATCAGTTGGACATACAGAAAAGTGCATCATTGTTAATCATGAATTAGAAGAAAAGGAACATAAACCGATGAGCCCTTTAAACGCCCATCAGTATGCTGAGATATTTAAAGAAGCTATGAAAGTAGTAGCAGCGATTAATGATGAAAGTCGTATTGAAGAAGCCAAGAAGAAATCCAGTTCTGGGAATGAAGAGAGTTTATTAGTTAAACTGGGAAAAATTTCATTACGTGGAAGTCTAAGTCAAAGTCCCCTGAAACAGAATCTGAATTGTTGAAAACCGAAAAAATTATCAAAAGTCCTCGATCTCCTCGCAGAGAGACGTATGTGCTTGCTACAAGCCCAGCACATGAACGTCCCCCAGCTTTTCAAAAAAGAGCAACTTCCCAACTGGCAGTCAGTGGAACATCTGCCAATGCAATAAAAAATGGTGCGTCTCTGAAAAAACAATGGACTAAAGAACAAGCTTCAAAATTACAACAAACATGTCAGGGTACAACTGTTAAAAAAGGACTCCAGCAACCTTCAAGGAAATCTTCAATGGATTCGCTTCAGCGTTCTACGATAAAACCAGCCGAGGTTAAAAATGGGATACAGCCACCAAGAAAAACGTCACTTACCTCTCCACAAAGCATCAAAGTGAAACAAGCTGATGTGATGAAATTTACAGCGAAATCAAGCCCGCAAAAGTGCAAGTCATCTTTAAGGCAAAATTCAACTTCAAAGCCATCTAACTGCAGTGGAAAATCAAAACTGGCTCTTCCAAGTTCAAGGCTGCCATCTAAATCAATTGACAATACAAAGGTATGTAATAACTGCATCGTATTAATTAATCAGTAACTTATTTCACTTTAAAGTGAAGGGTTCGTCAACTGGATATGCGCAGGAATTGAGTCCTACGCGACGGCGCATGCTAAAAATGCAAATTGTAGATGCTTGTTTGTAAACAACAACTTTCTATGGCACCTGCCAAATTGCGCAGATGACAACTTCCTGCTTTAACTATCATGTAAAACAAACTGTAATTGTAAGGCCAAAGTAAATCCTGTGGAATGGATTATATTGGTAGCTACTCTATAGATGAAGTAACTATAATATTTATATATAAACATTCTTTTTGACATGCATAATTGGTTTAGTCCCCCAGATTGGCTAAACGAGAAAAGCACAGTCCACCAAAGAGGAAGAGAATAAGTAGTGCTGGCTCTGAAGGAAGCATATCTGATACATGTAGTGTATCATCTGATGTGAGTGATTGCTCTACCACAAGTACTGGCATACCCGGTAAAAGATTACAACATAAAGTAAGCAAAGGAGAATCCATTTCTGTGATAGACCACAACCTTGCATACACTTTGTGACATTTCTGCTCATTTGTGATTTACCTTTAATAATCCGATTTCGTTTAACAATTGAATAAAAATAAACTTGCCAATATAGACCATGTTACCATGTTCTGTTATCAGACTTTATAGCAATTCTGAAGATCTGGATAACCTTCTCAGTAGCCCATACATTGAAAAAACTGATTTGTCACTGTGAAAATACTCGGAGAAAAGTCTTATTTTCTTCTGTCATTAATTCTTTGATACTTTTTCCTTCACCAGCCAAGTTTGAAATCTTCAAGTCTAAAACAACCAATTGCACGAGGCTATAGGAATCCCAAACCATTTTATTCTACAGGGTCGGAATCCAGTGTTGATAGCTCTAACACAACTTTGAATGGTTCAATGTGTAAAGAACCCACTGCAGGTAAATCATTTGGTTGCAACACGGTACATGTATTAAGGGGTTATTACAAGAATATCACAAAGTATGCGCAAAGGTAGTACAGTGCTTGTATTTACCAACATGTATTTGAAATTGATGCTTTATTGTTATTGCCTTAGTACATACTTTGCTTATTATTGTACATCTTTTCTCTGCTTGTAGTTATAATTTAATGATAATTTAACAGTTTTGAATACGTCCATACGTTTTACATACTGGAAAATTCTTTTGTTTTTATATGTATATTAATACTAAACGGTGGCTTTTCACATGACAATGTCTTTTAACAGTGAAGAAATCGTCCAGTTTAGTCACACCAGGTTATAGACAGAGTTTGATTAAACCAGGTGTTTTACCTCAAAAGAAGACAATACCAGTTTGCAGACCTCTGAAAATGTCCACAGCTGGGTCTAAACTGAGTAAACCACAACCTGTGAAAGCTACAGTACCGATGACGCATAGTAAGACACCGAACAAGGTTGTGAACAAAGGTATTTACATCTTCAATCAATCATACCATGTATACATGGATGAGGTGTCTTTACATCCAGAACTTGTATATAAAATGAACTGGATTTTTCATCGGGAATTAATAAATTATTCAGTTACTAATGTTAAATGTTATTGATTATTGATGGTTCTTGTAACATTGATAAGTGAGCCATACGAATCTCGTTCGAGCCCACTGTAACAATGCGTGTCACAACTCTGAAATGCTTTGACCAATTTTCAGGATATTTATTACAAAGGTGCATCACTAAAGCATACATATACATGTTAATTTTGTTTTTGAATCTGTGCATTGGTTTAAAAAATGATGTTTTTGCTCATTCTTGGCCTTGTGTCAACCAATTTCATTCAAACTACACAATGCATTACATATATGGTTAGACACAATTGCACAATAAAAAAAAAACAATATTTTTTTTCTTCTTTAATGTAAATCTATTTTTTAATTCTATATTTTCCAGGAACTCCCAGACCCAATTTGTCTCAAACACAAGCAATTACAAGCACCCCTAAGTCACAAAGGTTGCCAAGAAGGTTACCTTCTCCTGTGAGCAGTGTTAAGAGTGCCAGTGCCAAAACAACTTTACCGAGGTAAAGATCTCAACAGTCAAGGACCTCAGTAGTAATAACATATTGGTACATTTTTGTGACCATTTCGACCATACCTTATTCGGGAAACATTTGAATTCATTAAAAAAAGATCATTTTATAACATTTTCCTGACTAATTTTAACTACCATGGCCAGAATAGATAGATGGGTAGCTCTCTGCGATCAGAATTTTGGGTTTATGGATATTTTTGACTGGCATTTGATGGTATGAATGTGCAGACGATATTTGACCTATTTCACCTACAGAACAGGAGCCAATGAAATTAAAAACAATACAGTGGTTCTGAGAATTATTTGCTTGCAACTTTGCAAAATACTTGGTTGGCTCTTGCTTTGTTCTAGAATTGATGGCGTTTGACTGATAGCATGCTATGTGGGATACATTATTTTATAGGGAATGTCAACATGGTGAATCTAGTGTATGTATTCAATTGTATCTTTAATTTCTTGTGTATCTACATTGTATGCAATTTGAGATATAATAAAACAAATCAGAGTTAACTGTTCTTGTAATCTTCTGAATGCTTATTATTTTGAAAAACTGCTTTTTGCTCTTGTCTTGTTTTATAATACAATCATCTAAACTCTGTAAGTGGAACAGCGCCGTCAAGTCTACATTGGACAAAAATCAAAGTGTTTTGCAAAGTTGCTCGCCATCTTGCTAACTGACTGTACAAATAAATCTCAGAACCGCCGTAAATGGAAAGCTGAAACAATGAACATATTCATTTCAGATCTTGATGTTTAATCAATTCATGCAAATCAATGTCATAAAATATGTCACATAATACCGTAAAATCTGTATTAGAAGCCGCATCCCTAATAGAAATCTCACCCATTCTTTTTGAATAATTGAGAACTAAAAATTCATCATTTCTCATATGTGTAGGTGCTCTAATAGAAGCCGCATCCCCTCTGTTGCATTGTACCATTTTAATAGAAGCCGTGATTTCTAATACAGATTTTACAGTAGTCAATAAAATCAAATATAAAATTTACTCATACAACTTGTCTCTATATTCTGTCAATAAAAACAGTGGAATCCGTTTTATCACATGTAATGAAAGTTGTTTAAAATAATCTGATACAAACTAGGATATATAAACTTGGGTCACTGACTATATGCATCAAAACATGTCTAAACTGAATATACCAAATAGGAGTTATTTCAATTATTTACAGGGGTCTTTTCTTTATACAATAAAACCTAGCTGAACAACAAATAGGAAAATCTAAGTTTAGACAGGATTCTTTGTTATTAGTGACTGTGAACAATTTAATTTTCACTGCTTTTCGCCATCTCAAGGTTTCATAACATTTATGAAGATAAAATTGAAAGTCACTGTTCTCGAAGAATTATTATAATTTCCACTGACTCATGAAAATTTTTTCTCACAAAATTTATCGAGTTCTTTTTGTTGTATACTTAGGCGTCCAGTAAGTGCTAACAATGACAGAATGCAATGTTCGCCTATGAAAAGTGAAATCAGAAAGACCAATGTTACACCGCAATCATCACGTAACAGGCGCTCTGCTATTCCAACACCAGCAAAAAGTATTGGAAAATTTAAGTTGGATTTTTCAGCTGGATTAAGGTTGGTGGAATTTATTGCTGATAATTTCAAAGAAACAGTTGAGACATTGGTGCTAGCCTGGAGTTTGTCTTTTTGGAAGGCCAAACTCCTCAAGCACCTACAAGCGAATAATTTGAACACCTGTTTTGTCATCAATGATTTAGCCCTCGACTGGACTGCGGACATATAGTTTGGGGTGGGTTCTGTCATTTCATCCATCGCATTTTTTCAGAAGTTTCCAAACTGTATACGATTGATTCAAGATGGTATACATATGCTTCGACTCATGGCCATATTTGGCTAAAATCCCACATTTTGTATGTGTAGAGCATTTATCTTCAAGTTGTGCTAGCTGATTCAATTCAAACTTGGAATTGCACTTGTTTGCATTCATAAGTTTTCAAGATTATTTCGAAATTGGCTTACTGGTGGCCATTTTGTACATTAAAAATACTTATTTTTGCTTAGAACTTGAGAATGCATTCACTAAGTTTATTAAGACTTATCGCAAGTATCAGAAGTATTGGGGCAGCCAATTTGCAAACTCGCTAGCGAATTGGCTAACTACTTTGGTTTTGACTAAACTGTTGGCTTTCGAATCTCGCTGGCGTGGTCTTGTAGTCATGCCCACTTGAGGCAAATCTAAATAATAGTAGGGAACGATCGTCATACTTTAGAAGCTAATCAGCGACTGTCTTACAGTTGAATGGTGATTTTGCTTTCAAATATACCAGGGAAAGTGTTCTATGCTCTTTGTGTACACACAAAAATGACGAATGAGGTCGATTTTTTCAGTGGTTGGCTTAATGATACCCCAACGGATCGTTTGGGTGTGAAAGTTTGTTATTTTCTCACTGATTTGTAGAAAACTGTTTCTCAACTTGTCTATATAGTTTCAAGCAGTGTTCAAGATGGTTACCCTCATATTGTAAATATCGCTGGATTAATCGCAATTATCATATTATCACTCGTACGCCAGCTGACTGTGGCCATTTTCGGGCTCAAATCATTCAGGGGAATCCAGACATGTACCAGGCTGCGTAAAAACATTCTATGTCCCCTAATACAATATAGACTCGCCAAGAGTGGATGCGATCACAAGCCGGAGCCAGCGAGATTTGAAAACCAACCGTTTAGTCAAAACCAAAGCAGTTAGCCAATTCGCTAGCGAGTTTGCAAATTGGCTGCTCCAATACTTCTGAGACTTGCTGTAGTACAGAAGCAATGTATTATTTCATAAAATGCAAGTTGAGTTTGTTGCAATCCTATCTAATATGGCTGACTGGCAGTAATTTTTTTCACAATCTGCCTATATCTCAAATTTACAGTGTCCAATTAGGTCCAAACATTGTATTCTAACATATCAACAAAAGTTGATCTGTGTTGCAATCCAATTCAAAATGATCAACTGAAAACCATTTTGTTTGATGAAAATCTGCAATTTTTTTTTTTTAAATCACACTGTCTCTAATTAAATTTGGTACGTAGACATTTTCCAAATAGAAATGAAATAAAAATGGTTTAAATGAGGATCAATGATGTATTTGAGTATGTAATTACTAGTAGGGCTCACTGCAGGAACTGCTGTTTTGCAAGAAAGCTATCAAAACAGCTAACTGATTCACAGACAGTGGAAATTATTACCTTGACAATGAACAATTCCCATCTTCACATGTAGTTGCATCTTCCAACCCTATGCAAACGATGGTATGCTCCAGTGTAGACTCTCCGTATAGTGTAAAACATAAACAAAATATTTCACTCCATTTTTTGGTTAAGTTACAGGCATGCACATACGTAATTATTAGCCATGATTCAGTTCATAGCGAAATATCATAAAGATAGTCATGCTTGTTTGGCATGGAAAATACAATATCTGTGCTAGATTATGGCGGTTTATTGCAATGGTTTATTGTCGTGTATTAACTCGTGTCTGGTGATAGCGAGAGGTTATATTCTGGATGGTCGTTTCAGAAATGTTCATCATGTCAGCAATTCTGCCAGACTTGGTCCACTCAAGAACAATGAAATGCTGCTGAGACCAGTGTTTAGTTCCTGTTCCAAAAACAGAGACTTGTAGATTGACTTCTGTGTTGTCCATGCACGATGTCAGTGTGAGTCTATCCTACAGTTCATGCTTTTGTTCCACGATCTGATTCAAGATGGCCAATTGGCAGCCATTTTAAGGCCTAAAATGCATTATAATCGCACATTTTCACAATTTTGTACCTAATCTCTGTCATGCATGGATGAATTCTGTTCAAATTTGGTACATACCTTGAACTTAATGGGGTCCTTGATGCACTCTACTGGTATTTAATTTTTCGAATTGGGCTCAAAATAGTTGACTGACTGATTTATTTGCAGCTAGAAGCCTGCCTAGAACTACTGAATAGAAATTTATCTTTTGAATTCCAAGAGTTTTCTCGACCTGCATTGTGATTGGCTTGTTAAGCTTTTCACCACCAGACTTTCTCGCCAAAATTTGTCTGCACTTTTTTATTATATTTTTTAATATTTCTGGAAGTGAACTCTAATTTTGGAGCCAACCGACAAAATTTGAGTAAATTTTAAATTTTTACTCAAAAAATTTGGCTATTTTTGTCCTAATCTTTTGAAGGAACTATTTGCATATTTAGCCTTTTCATATTAAAAACTGCTAATTATATGGTTTACTATGTTGATTGTGTGCCAATAATATCACAATATGCCTTTATTATGTTTATTAACGTGTGCCCTCCTTCTCAGATAGTGATATGATTGAATTCTTGTAAAAACCCAAACTATTCATTCCAAGCATACATGACAAATTTTTGTTCCAATTCAGTTAATATCTAGTTTGCTAATTCGGTAGCAAATTTGACAACCATCCTTGCAAAACTGTAGTTCCATGTGCGTGAGACCCCACCATTAACACAAGTATTTATTTCTAGTCCCAGTTCTTTGCAGTCTCCTGTTCTTCGAAAGATTTCATTGGCTGATTCAACTTACGATAGTGTGTTCAGTGAAGAAGCTGAAATAGTACCACCACTTCCACCACCATCATTCTCTCCACCTGCGCTTACCAAGAGTGAGAATCCAGTATTCTCATCTCCAGTTCTGTGTGATGTAAATACACAAGATGGGTTACCTCCACCTCATTGTGAAGAGATGGTTAAAAAATCTATCGATAAACAATGCAGGAATTCACCGGCTGTTGATACTGTGAGAACCTAATGTATTTCTACCAAGCTAGATACACACTCTATGTAGCACTATTTCCTCTTGTCACCTTTTATCTGTAATATAGCGGTAGTATAAGATATGCATCTCTATTAGAAAAGCCCATAATCCTAAAATTACAATAATTTATATGTTCGATCATTAAAGACACAATATTTAAAGCGTGAGGGTTGCCACCTGCGCATGCGCAATTCCAAGCGACTATAACAACACACAATAAAAACTCGCGCTATGGTCATCTGATGCATGCACACGTGACGACTCCCCCACTTTAAGTTTTGTTGTTTGATACTGTATTTGGCTAAATATATTGGACTATGATTTATCATGAACTGAAAGTGCTGTACTTGTAGCAACGAAGTCCGAAAACAGGGACTTATAATTCAGTCTCCGACCTTCTGTGTGTTCATGCATCCGTCCGGAGTCGTATTTCAGAATCATTTGGACCGATTCCGTTCATTCTTTACATGTGCCTAGTAGTTTATGTGGGACATATGCACATGCAGTGGTTTAGCGATTCGATTCAAAATGGCCGACTGGCAGCCATCTTGTTTTTTGAAAATGTTGTATTTTGGACATGCTTTGTCAGTTTTCATTCAAACTTGGTACATAGATTATACATGTCAGGATACATGTCCTCCAACTGTTCGTGCGTCTGTCTGTCCGTTGGTCTGTCCGTCAGTCCGTCCGTCTGTCAGTCCGTCCATCCAGAGTCATATTTCAGAATCCTTTAGACCGATTTCGTTCATTCTTTGCATGTGCTTAGTACTTATGTGGACATATGCATATGCAGTGGTTTAGCGATTCATTCAAAATGGCATCTTTTTGTTGTTTTTAAATGTGGTATCTTGGACATGCTTTGTCAGTTTTCATTTAAATTTGGCACATACTTTATACATGTATATGTCCATGACAATTTGTTTCAAAATCGAATCAAGGATGGCCAATTGACAGCCATCTGACTTTTTGGCCTTACTACTATATTTCCAAGATTTATGTACTATTTTCATTTGTATTTGGCACATACATGTCAGTTTGTTTCATAATCAGATCAAAGATGGCCGAATAACGGCTGTTTTTATTTTTGGCCATATTACTATATCTCTTTCACCCATGTATCATTGATATTTAGCATGTCATAAATGAATACACGTACATGTCAATTAAATTTGCAATTTTATCAAATATGGCCGACTGTTGGCCATCTTGTTTGTTTAAAATGTGATAACTTGGACATGCTTTCACTTGTGATCTATGTTTTCCTTTGCTATGTCTTAAACCGGAGGGGTCATCATGCAACACGTGTTCGTATTTGATGTAAATAAACAATCTGTTGCGACTCAAGTTTCAAAAACACGCTCGCGACATCCCCTCCGCTTTAATATGACGAGCACAAAGAGAACTTCCAAAAATTTAACAGGGACTGTGTCATTTTCAATGACTTGTTTTAATGATGAAACAATGTGCATGTTATATATTTTGGTGCATGCAATAACAATAATACTTTTTGGTTTATGTTGCACTTCTATTATATACATATTCCCTGATGATTTGCATTAACCCATTCATTGCCTGCCGTAATGGTTAAAGCGGGGTAGTCGTCACCTGCGCATGCGTCAGTTGGCCATAGCGTGTATTGTTTACAAACAAGAGTCTACCCATTAGCCTTTGCGTTTTAGCGTGTGTTGTTATCGTCGCTTGGGACTCAATTCCTGGGCGTGTGCAGGTGACTACCCTCCCGCTTTAAAATAAAACGATGTCAGCAGATGATGAGTTAATGATATAACAGTGACAATAAATTTCAGTTAAAAAAGTTTGTGACTTAATCTTGGATTTTAAATGAGATTCAAAATTTGTTATACTACATTTAAACCCTCAACAGGCCTGTACTTTTACGTTGACTTGACCAGATAAGGGTTATACTTGAAACATTTGAAAATTGACACCCCTCCTTTTTTCCACATTTTGTATTTGTTAGTTGTCACTTTAGTTACCTTGCAGTGTCTTTATGTTGCTCTGGACATTATTGTGTCTCATTTATTGATTCTTTTGTTTTTTCAACAGTTAATCAATATTTCTGATGGCAATATTCAGAATGGTTTATCACCTCAGATATGCACAGTGAGTATTTATCTTGTTAATACCACCCAATACCCCCACACACACCCACAACTCACTGGACTGTCACTTTGAATGTATGCTGGCTGACAACACTGAAACTATTGAAAATTAATATTAATTCTAATGTTCTTTTGGAAGCGACAGTGCAGTGATCAATGTTAACCTTGTGTTTTAATCGCAATTACTGTCGCCGCCATATTGTTTCAGACACCAAAACAGCTAACATTCTCAGCTAAGTTGCTGACTGGGTTGCTATGCACGTCTTGAGATCATTGTCATTGGAACAAATTGAATCAAACTGACTAACAGGAGACATCAAACAAATGCTAAGGAACACATAAAATAGAACATGCAATTTCTATGTATGACAAATGCCAAGGTTATTTATACAAATTAAACAAAATGTATATACTGACAGTTTTGGATATAAGGACACAGAGGTTTGTGTGCGTCTAGTTAGAGTCATAACTCTTGTACTACAATATAATATAGTATTATAAACATGTACATTCTGTTGAATGACGCATCAAAAATAGGATTTTATATCTCACCAGTTCTAATTACGTAGAAATCGCAAGACTCACTTAACAAACCAGTCAGCAATATTGTTGTATGGGTGTTCAAAACAATATATCAGTAACAGCAACATAAACACATGCACAATTATTTAGAAGCACATCTCCAATAGAAGCACAAATAAACCTACATTGCATTTATTGCGTGCTGGATCATTATAATGTAACTAGAGAATACAGACACTGGCAACTGTGGCAAACATCAAAGAGAATGGAATAGTGTTTTTGTGTGGAGTCTCTTGGCGTGCACAGTGTTCTATTATGTAATAGTTTTGATGTGCACAAGAAATCCACAACCCCCATATTATACTTTTTCCTGTAGTTCATGTAACCCACTTTTGAAATATGCTGTATCAAATATGGTTAAAACAGTCTACCAGTAGTTTTGGTACCACTCACTGTTTACGTACTACCGGTATGACGTAGTTTGGTAGATAATAAATGAATAAAGATATTGTATTTTCCTTTACTTTTGAATCACACACAAATTGTCCTGTTAACTTCAATC